AAAAATTTTCAGTTAATCTGTTCGCGAACTGAAATTTTCCTGAGGCGAGGAGTTCGTAATCCGAGGTGTCAATATAGGTCAAAAAGTGATTCGCAGTCCACTATAGCTCGGTAATGGACTAGAGACCCAAAACTTTGTAGGTACAAGTGTGCTTTGAAAATGTTTCTCGGTATTTCTTTAAGTATTTCTTTCTCGGTATTTTCTTAACGAGCATTTCTTAACAAGCAAAGTTTGACTGTTGGTAGCATCTGACTGACTCTCATGTCCAGTGATTCGCATAGCGAACGAAAGAAAATGTAAAAGAAGACTGCTCTTTAGCGCTCATCTTACTGTCGTTTGTGAAAGTTGTGTTCAAAAACAAAACTGTGTATTTTTTTAGTGCAAAGTTTAAGCATGCTTACAAGTTTGTCAATGCCCAAGAAGGCATGGTAAGATCGGTGTGAGAATGGCTGACTAGGCATGCACAAATAATCGGTTTACATCAAAGATTTGCCCTTTCCTTAAAAAACGAGCCCACCAGCGAGCGAGCGGTAAAATCGCTGAACACTGGTAGTTTGCTCCGAGGTTCGGATACCACGAACGGGCTGGCTGCATGGGCGTTTTCGTGTTTTTTCCCATGTGTAATGTGACAGTTTCCCTTAGAAAGTCCTTCACGAAGACATCCCTCCCCTTAGGCATCTAGCCCTCGAGGCTTTGCCGTAATCATATAAACCAAACTATCCACAAAAACAAACGAAAGATCAAGGAGAGTGATGCTTCAAAGGTATCTCAAGAATTTTTATGTAACGGCCACGTATTCTCGGCGATGTTCAAAGATTGCTTCTCATATGGATCAACGAGAAGCAGATGCAAAGCGATGCTATTAACAAAACATGATTTCTGAGAAGGAGAAACAAATTTTTGTCGACCTCTTTAAGAAGGCGCCAGAGACATCAACGGACAAAGAAGAAGCATTCAATGCGAGCCAGGAGGTGATTCGAAAAGTCTGAGTAAAGAACCAGCATCCACAGCAAGTCAGACATAAAAGCATCCGATTAGTTTAACGGTGTATTCAAGAACCTTGGGAATTCTAGGGGTTATCTGGCGCAGCAGTTTTTTTTTTTTTTTTTTTTTTTTTTTTGTCATCAAACGGGTGTCTTCTGGGAAAATTTGTTGAAATGAATTCATACTACAGCAGAGAAGGCATTCATGGCCCAGAAGCTAATGAAAAACCATTTCGTGCTGTTGTTTTGTGAAAATGCAAGTGCCTATTTGAAAGTTAAACCGCTGCCTTCTTTACCATTCGGAGAATCCACAAACCTTCAACTAGGTATAAAGTCCAAACAAGCACGCTAATGTCATGTAGACTTTCAGCAACAAGGCTTGAAGTGACACGAGATCCTTTTACAGTTTGGTTCATTAAAGTGTTTTGTGCGCCTGTAGAAAAATATCTGCTGATATGAATTTGGTATTTTGTGCCTTTCTTATTATGGACAACTTTCCTGTACATCCTCCAAGCCTAAAATGCCTCAGCAAAGAAACAACCTTCCAGTAAAGTAAAGGAGACGATGAAACATGGGGAACAGTTGCATCGTAAGTTGAGAAGCATTACCCTAATAAGGCAATAGCTATGTGTGGCTACAAATTTATTTAACGATAATGTTGTGTCTCATTTTCTTCAAATTTTAAAGCATAAGCAAAAAGCAACAAGTACGATTAGGGAATCAGTTATGCTCGTTACGGGAGTTTGCACTATATTTAATTTACTATGTGATATAAATCTTATTCGAAGGTTTGAAGGTACAGACGTAACCTTTTTTTCGTACTTGTCAAAAGATAAAAACTCTCAGTTACGAATTTTTGCATTAAGAATCGTCCCATTGTTTGGGAATATGTGAACATTTTTTTTCCTCATCTGAATCTGATGTGTGCACCACATGACTTCCTTCTACGGAATATTAAATTATACCCATTTTTTCTTACAATTCATTTAAACTTATTGTATTGAATTAAATCTACTTTGTCGATAGCGCATAAACCACAGTAGAATAAATGCACTCTTTAAAATTCACTTCACAAATTATTTGTTTACCACAGCGACGCTCTGGCCCTAGGTTCACTCACATTTCATTCATTTTTTTTAACTCAGAATGCACAAAATTTATATCATCTTAATAATTATCTAATCGTTTGCACATGTTCTATTCAAATACTATAATAAATCTGAAACGATGTACAAAAGAAATTAAGCAAAGAACAACAACAATAACAAAAAGAAACAGTTTTTCACAGACGTTTCAGTATTTCTCATTCAATTAATTCAGTTCTCACTTCGCGACAAGGCAAAAATACATTAAAACTCAAGATGTCTGTATTAAAAATCATGTAGTAAATCTTAAACACTTATTTCCTCGAATAAATTTCAGAATGGATTAAGCTTTATTTAATTTGCAATAATAAAAGAAGACGTTATCTTTGTTATTGCGAAGCTTACTTTCTCTAGATTGGCAACAAATCTACTATTGTGGTGTTTGAAATGTAAACAAGCAATAGCCGCCATGGAAAAAATTATTAGGCTTAGCGGCACTTAAACAACTTTAAAATTGTTGATAATTCTAAAAATATTGCATACAGATTCACTAAAGGCATAAAAAACCTTAACCGGAACATAAGAACAATAGAATTTAATCATTTTTCAAAGCAAAAAATGCACAATTTACCAACTTATAAGAATAAAGAAACTAAAGATCACTGAGCGGGTAACAGAGAGGGGATATATATAAAAATTATTTATATACGTTTGGGTGTGGGCCGATTGCAACCAAATAAGTGAGGTGCACCAACTTACATGTTATAGCAGTCCTACGTATAAAATTTAAACGTTCTGAGACTACTCGTTTTTGAGTTATGCGAGATACGTACGTATGTACAGACAGCACGAAAAATTCTCTTTAGAATTATTTTAAAGCTGTTATATTTTTTTTTTTTTTTTTTTTTTTTTGCAGGAAAAGAGTCTTTTATTCTGTTTTTACGTACAGATGTCGCGCAAAAACATCGTTAAATTGCATGCGACAGCGGTCAGAATGGATATTTACGTTGAAATATGCTGCCTGAAACTCTTCGCGATTACAATACTTCCTGTTTACTTCGTACAAGGAAGTAAAAAGAACCTGAGTGACAAATGAGCATTCACAGTTCGTGACTAAAGACAGTTTCTAATAATTTTTCTCCAAGGTTACAAATTTTATTAAAATTGAAACGCTATGAGATGTTGTAGCTGAAAGTAGTTGCAGTAAGAAGATTATAATTATTTACCTAATATATGCATTTTTACTGTATGCGACAAAGAAAATGTAATAAATAAAAGGAAGATAATAAGTTGTCACTACTTATTCACAAGTTTTTTCTCACTTTGAAAATCTTCGTAATTTCTTTATTATAAGTCAAGAATTTTATGGTTAATTCAACATATTAGAATTGTTTGAAATAAATTCTAGTCTGAAAATTTAGCATTTAGCTATCAATAGGTTTGACTTACGAAGTGTAACCAACTTAAGTTTCTAGCAGATTTCAGACAGAAAATAAATGTAAATTGGAATTTTTTCCATCATTATTATTACATATTATGTACGTTTTGATAAATATTTAATAAATAAAATTCAAAATTTAGTTTAAAAAAAGTGTCCCCTCTTTATTTTAAACATTTATTTTCTTCTTACAAAGACATTCGATTCATCGTTTGCTTTCAAATTCTGCATCTGGTCTGCATGCAGTTAAGAGCTGCTGTAGATAATCTGTGCTTACCTAATTTCCTCACTTTAACAAATCGGCTCACCTAACTATAGATTGCCTTGATAATGTGCATACTAGCTGATTTCCACACTATAACGCATCGGCCCACTTAATCTGTAGATTACCTAGATAAACTGCATTTATCTGATTTCGACACTTTAGCGGATGGATCTCTAGATTATCTAGATATTCTGCAAGTTACGAGTACATAATGTCCGCACTTTAGCGGATGAGCTTGTAGATTACCTAGATATTATGCATATTGCCTGCTTTCCGCACTTAAATGAATGTGTGATTCTGGACCTTTTCTACTCCATGCACCCCTTTCACCATTGCTAGGCAATCATCCCCCCGGTCCTTCCCGAAACAACAGGAAAAACAAAATGTACATTTATTTAAATTTAGGTTATTTTGCAATGTATTTTAGAAATTAAACAAGAAAAATTATAGGAAATGTTGATAAATACCGAAATTGGATAAAGTATTTTTTCGTTTCATAAGGTAAAACTCAATATATAACAGTTAAATAAAAGGCTGACCGCGTTCTCCTTCCCAGAAACTATGAAATTCTCCTCCTGGTTGAGAACCCTGATTTTATATGTAAGAGATTATATTTTTGACTCCTTTCTAGCTGGGTAACCTAGACCAGTGCTCCGCAACCGGTGTGCCATGAGTAGGATATAGGTGTGCCGCAATCAAATACATGTATTTGACATTTTGCAATTTTTTATCATGTATTTTATACACAATGACAATTTTTTTCCTTAATAATGTCTATTTTAAATGTTTTTATATATTTCACTGTTGTGTGGTTGTGTGTGTGATTGTAAGTGTGTCAGCATTTGAATATAAAACTTTTGTGTTCATTGAAGCAGCGCAGGTATCACATTGATAATTATTATGATTGCATATAAATAAATATGTTATGGTTTTATAATTGTATATTTTTCAAATTAAAAACAAAAATTTATTGTAAATTTTGTGTATAAATCAATACATATACATTAGCTTTTGGTGTGCCACGAAATTCCAGAAAGATTTTTTGTGCGTCGCAGGTGAGAAATGGTTGCGGAGCACTGACCTAGACTCGTCCTTCTCCGTGTGTGACCATGAAAATAAACTATAGTAACTCTATCTCTATATATAATATATGTATATATATGTTATTTTGTTAACAGATTGAATTTTTGTGCTTATGTTCGTTCATTAATTTTTCCTTCTCTTTGCAGGTCGTTCATTTTATCTAAGTCAAAAATCGAACTGAAGGTTTTCTCATCGCCGCCTACTGCTGCCTGACCTTTTTGGTTGTGTCCTCCATAATGTGTCGCCGTCTTGCGTGTATTGTACATCGTTAGTTGTTCCTTGAAAATCCCAAATATCCTCTAGAGTGTGCCCCTTTTTTTCTTGTGTATATAGCGAGTGGACTTAAGATTTCTAGGACGTTGTAATTAGAGGTGTATAAGTTTTTAAATTATGATTATTCAGTGACACAGTGACGAAACTGGAAGTTCGATGTTATTTTTGAACATCTGTGATAAACGTCATTTTTATATAGGTAATTAATTAATTAATATCGTAGCATTTTTTTTTTTTTGAAATTGTTTTCCTTTGTACGAATAAATTTCCTTTTTAATGTAGTAATTTAATGAGTCTACATTTGTGATGAATAATGTTTATACTATAAATAAATTTGTCGTTATATGATGCAAAATGCTTGGGAATGAAACATGTAATTAACTTTAAAATAATTTAAGTCAGTGATTCTCACTTTTTTCTTGCACCCCTCTTTCAAAGGAATGATTTTTTCCATCGATACCCTTACGTTTTTCTCCATAATATACATTGTATGCACAACATAATCATAATATAAATAATTAAAAGGTAACAATTAGATGAAGAATATAAAACAAGTTCATTTATAGTTTATGTCATTCTAAATGTTAACGAGATCATTTATAGTTTATTTAATTTGATATTATATTATAATTATACTGATGTTTTAATTCGAAAATAGTTATAATTTATTAATTGTATTTACTAGAATGTTTTTAAATTCTATTGACATTTTTACTAGCAGGTAATTCTTTAGGAAGTTATCTGTTACTCTGTTTTTTTTTTTTAATTAATATTACTATTATTATTATTATTCACGTGTTGATTGATGAATGACAAATGATGAAGTAAGAATTTATAATAATATTTATAATATAGGACAATAATTTCATTCCAATGAAAAATTCTTTTGATGTTGAAGAAAGTTTATAGTATGAAAAATTTCATTTCGTAAAATATTGAGAAGTAAAAGTGGAATAAATTATAATTCTAATCCAACGCATTATAAAGAGTAACTTAATTCCTTAGTTATGCCAAAAGAATTTTATCTCGGTTTAAAATATTTTATTTGAGTGCATTATTATTACTTGCATGTTAATTAATAAGTAACGGATGATTAAATAATACTTTCACTTCATTCTAAGTTTGACAATTTCATTCTTTTGAAAAAAAAATTATAATTTAGAAATTTCATATCAAAATTTCCTTTTATACTTTTTTTCTTTCATTAAATGTTAATTTTGTATATTAAAAAATAAAAACTATATGTTAAAATTTCATTTAGAATATACAGTGGCTAACAAAAGTGTTCGCACGCTTACGAGTTCCAGTGAAATATTCCTTTGTTCATTAATAAAAATTAATATTTTAGAATGAAAAATTTTTAACAATATCTATATACCTGCAGCTTTCAAACATCTCGGCATACAGATCAACCAAGATCTTGGGATTAAACTCCTATTTTTTTTCTCCAAACAGTTATCCGTCTACAGGAACTAAAAGTGTTAAATTTACTTTCATCTTTGCAAATAAGACATTCCAATACGCTTTGAGCTTATTTACCATTAATTTTGAGAAGAAAAGCCTAAGCTCTCTTTCGAGCAGAGCGTCTATGTAATCCAGCTGATATTAGCACTCGTCGAACAGTTTTATGTGAAATTGAAGTAGAATACTTTTCAGTAAATTCTGTAGAAATCTTTGCAACGTGTATTTTTTACAGAGTTTCGAACTATAAATCTCTGATCGCGTTGAGTCATGTCGAATCCTCTTTGCCGGACAACCTCATCTTACTTTATTTTGGATCCGATTTTCTTCTTTCATTTTATCACATACTGCGTCGTAGAATGGGATAAATTTACTAATTTAGCGATATCTCAAATCGCTTTTCCATGCTGATGATAAAAAATGATCAATTTTCGAATGCTGTTCGTTGCTTCCTTATGACTACGAGACATTTTTAAGCATTTAATAAAATATAACGAAGTAAGCAAGCAAAAAATAAAGCCAAACAATTTTTTTAACTCACTAAAATGGGGGGGGGGTAGACGATAATTTTGTTATGAAATTTTACGAAAATGTTCCAGTGTACGATTACTTTTGTGGCGTTTTTTATCTATGTCTTCTTACATTTTCAATTTTAGAAAAAGAAAATAAGTCAGTATTAAAAATTAAAAGTTTGGTTTTATTTAAAATCACATGGAGATGATATGAAAAAATATTGGGCTTTGTATTCGAACTCAATTCTGGCTTTACAGCTTTACAGCGCTTTTTCTGCAAATTCTTAAAGTGTGCGAACACTTTTGTGAGACACTGTATTTTTAATAATAATAAAAAAAAAAAAAAAAAAAAAAAAAATCTGAAATTTTTCAGATTTTAAATTACGTCCAAAGGGGCGTTTTTTTAACATTTTGTGTGTTACCTTTCTTTATTTAAATATCATGTTCCTTCGCACTTAAACCATAAAGATCCAGTGCAACAGCAATATCGCAAAATAATTTTAAAACGAGCATATCTTTAGAATTTCCGATATACAGAGACTCACGCGAGCTGGAGATAAAAGTATTTTTTTTCTGCACAACGTTGCCATTGCTCGCTTTGAAATCCTTGAGTTTGTTAATCAAAAATTCGTCAAAGTTTTAAAAATATAGGAAATCGATCATAAAACAAATTTCCAAAATTTGGTCTTCCACATGCTCATATTCGTTGGAGGATTACGTTATTCAAAATTCGATGACTCTATGTACCGTTGTTTTATCACAATGCGAGAAATAGACAATCATTTATGCAGATTTTTCATTATTTAATTTCTTAAAATATGATGCAGGACTCTAACATTTTGTGGCAACAGTTTGAAAAGTGAACCGACGTTTATGAGTCCGACGCAAAATGCCAAAACGAAAGCAATAGTCCTTCGGGACTGAAATCCCTTTGGACTAAAAACTTATTTTTAAATTACATAAAAAATCAGTTTCTTATAAAACTGTGTATATGATGAGAAAATTTTTGCTTTCTTCTTTAACTAGGGCTTGATTTTTTTAAATAAATGAATCTCAAATATTACTGATCATCTTAGAAATTTTCTAATCTCTTTAATGTGTATTCAATAGCAAAGTAAATCATATCAAAATTTTAAAATGTTGTTGTATTACTTTAAACTAATCTTTAAGAAAATAAATTGCATTCTCTATATGCAGACAATATCTGTTGTAGAGACATTATAGTGCTTATTTATGTCAATATAGTGAATATTTTGTATTCATTATATATGAAAAAGTTTTCTTATATAGTAGTTACAAATAATAATTCAAGTGAATAATTACTGTTTGTGAAAAAAAAGAATATATCATCATTTAATTCTATCAAAACATTATATGAAAGCAATCATCAACGTGATGTTATTAACTACTTCGAACACTGAATTGTTATGTGCAAATAAAACTGTCTCGTATTATTTATAGTTATATTAATATAGTGCATACTTTACATTCATTATCTGTCAAAATATATGTGAATCATAATGGCTACAAATAAGCATTATTCTTGAAATATAGAAAAGTATTCTCATTTATTTATGTAAAAAATTATATAAATGTAATTATGAACATGGTGTTATTAACATGTTACGAACATTGAAATATATGTTCAAACTGCAAATAAAAATGTCATGTGTCATTGAGCTGTTAATATATGTGCATAGTGCTTATGTAAATATTGTATGAATATTTTTTCCCGGTTTTATCATTTCAATCCGTGCTTTATTTAAAAAAGAAAATGGCGCACGATACTTCATGTCTAGTGATCATATTTATTTATGAATGTTGTCTTGATGTTAAATATTACATATCTTAGTACAAAACATTTCAAAGCTAGCCAAATCCTTGATAGAAAATTCATGTAAAGGTGCAGTAATAGTGCGTTAAGACAATATAAAGGATAATTTTACACTTTCTAATCTTATTTTGTGCTTACATTATTTAGCTCTGGTATTCGAATTCTGCATATATTTTTAAGATAACTGGCAATTTAATTGCATCATGTACTCATTTTTGCTTGGTATTGCTAGTCTTCACTCATTTTTATTAGTGAGAATTAGGTATTTTAAGTTTCTTGTTTCAAATGCAAGAGATAATTAGGTAATTGGGCCCGGAAAATTCCATTTATTATATTATTTAATACAGTTTTGTTAACGGTTTAATAAAAGAAAAACTAAGTAAACTGGAATATTCATTTTTGGTGACCGCAGTTCAGCAATGGCTGCTTATTATATCTGAAATATCAACTGTAGCTTCTTTTTCCCGTTGGCCGAAAGCGGAAAATAGGAAGCATGATGAGTATTTGACAATTAAAAACCGCTGTATTGGCACAAGCAAATACGAAAAACCAGTTAGATCATTAAGATTTGTTTGTCGCCCATAAGCAAGCCGTTTGTTGCTGGCGCATGCGCAGCTAGGTAATCTTTGTTTCTCGCCAATGCATAACTCGCCGTATCCATTTTCTTGTCAAAGCCGGTGCAGAAGACAAATACCGATAATTGTTTCGGCATCATAAATTTATGATGCAATTAGTGCACGAAAGCATTTAACGAAGCTCGTATTTTTCATACCATTTCTTTCAGCTATTTGCATGTATTAAATTATTAATATTTTTGTATGTTTTAAAGTGTATTACAGCAGTCTGAACCTGAATTGCAGAAATTCATTTTCTGCGGTGATTCTTCCCAAAAAGCTCTGGCATCACACATCTCCTAATTCAAGTTTTATACAAAGCTCATTTCGGGTAAAATTCCAGCAATCATACCTGCGTACAGCTCTGTAAAAGGAATTAAGAAGAAAATTAATTTCAATGGAAATTAATTAATTTTTTTTTTTTTTTTCCTAATATGCTGAGGAAGTTTTAATACTTTTTTAATGAGTGAACCCACTTTCAGATGGCTGATCACAATTCCAGAATACTGAAATTCATTACCGATGTTTGTGTATATTCTATTCACGAAAATAGTGGTCACTTTCAGAGATAATCGCCTGGAGAGCTCTCCTTTCATTAATTTTTTTTTATTGTTTCCTAATTTAGATTCCTGAGTACATCTAACTTCGAATGTAGTCTCCTGGTTCGAAAGTTTTAAGTATTAGAAGTACAAGAAGTTAGAAATTCGCCGGAATATTTAATTTTAAATTTCGCATTCTTTATATCATTTTCAATTTGCCTTGAAGAATCGATTAGAATAATTGGAAAAAATAAGTTTAAATTATGTTCAGCAAAAAATTTAATAGGAAGTTATAAGGTGTTCCTCATCAGCTTTTTTTGTAATAGAATTTTAAAAAATCTCTCCTCTTTTTTTGAATTGATTTGTACAAAAATAATAAAGCATCTGACTAACTGCAATATGAAATATGCTGCTTAAGCTTAAAAATTAAAATTCCATTTGAACACAAGTGACAAGTAATTCATCCCTTAGTTGTAATTTGCACGCCATCGTGTATGTCATTAGAATGGGCGAGAATCATCGCAGTCATACATTAGGGAATCATTAAGGCTGCTGTTTGTTTTGTTTTGCATAGTCAGTGTTGAGTTCATCCTTGTATGTAGAGTCATTATAATGTAAATAGTAGAAAACAGTTGTGCATCGCAGTACACATTAGGAATTAAGGTGCTTTTTTTTTTTTGTTAGTTCATGTTGCATGTCCTTGTATGTAATGTCATTATACAAATAGCCACAAGTTCGTAACATGTGTGCTAACTATCGAATGAATGTCGTTCTTACAATTGTTGGGTTCCATATCAATAAATAAAAAATATGTTGAAAACTGAATTTCGTGTTTGTCCTTTTTATACTAGAGCTGTTATAAAAAAATATGTAATAATTATTTTAATGATTGCAACTAGTAATTATAATAATGCTAATGAAATAATAAGTAATAATAATCTTTTAAATGACTTTACTGTAATAATTTACTTTAAAATATAGTAGTCTCAGTTTATTATTTTGACCACGCTTGTCCATCGCTATTAATTACATTAATGGATGAGAAAAAAATATCCTTCAAAACAATAGAGGAATTTAACTAATTTATGTAAATGCAACAAAAAGCATATAAATAGGTACAACTTTCGCAGAATTTGTGTTAGGAAGTTGCAAAAATGTATTAGTTCATTATGAATGTTATAACAGTCCGGAATTTTAGTCGATAATCAGAAAGAGAGAGAGAGAGCGAAAGATTTTAGTATGCAGATTTAATACGTAATTTTAATATTTAGCAGGCATCCCTTATTCGCTGGAAGAGATTGGTTTATTTAATTATGTCAAAGCACTCAAGAGCTATCTGTTTAAGGAAAGGATGGCTTCGTGGAGGACTTTCTAAGGAAAACTGGCTTATACACACATTACACATGAGGAAAACAACCATGCAGCCAATCCGTTCGCCAAATTTCGAACCCCGGGCCGAACTACCAGTGTTCAGCAACTTTACCGCTTAACCGCTGGTGGGCCATCGGAAAGGACATGCAAATATAACATTTAATAATGGATAAAAAGGCAATCTTAGTTTAACATAGATGTTTTCAGGGGGAAACTTCTCCAGAAATTCGTGTGGTTCTGAACAACAGGTGTCTAATCATCGTCAGAATCAATGGAGTTATTCAAAATCTTAACTGAAGTAAGTTTTTTTTTTTTTTTTACCCTAAGGTTAAACAGTTGACTAAAATCGATAAAATTGAAAACAAACTGTTTGGCGACATAATCCCTTACTTGGCGAAATTTCTCTGCCTCTTAGCAATTTCAAAATTAAACTTTATTTGGTGCGTTTATTCCTCATTTGCAATTTTACTGCAGTTTAGAATAATTATTCTATCGTATTTTTATTACAGTCACCGAATTATTGACCCCAATAAGCGGTGTATATTCTATGATTTCGTATACAGACGAGTGGGACTTCGGCAATTCGGTAACTATGCCGAATGATAACATTAACCGTGATGACATTAAGTGAAGATTACTGTAGAGACGTCAGTGTTATTTTCCGCATCCTTATTTATTTCGTTACCATGGGAAAGACAAGTGCGGAGAAAAGGACGAGTCGCTTAATTTTTTTTCCACCACTTCATTTCGGTTTAAATTGATTTGATTCGGTACTAATCCACACTTCCGCAGTAGAATGCTGACTTATTCGAGAATTCGAAACTAATTGCAAGACATCATCATGATCTGATCCTGGGAAAAAAATGATTAATCTTAACTTTTATTTTTTTCATTAAGTGAGAGATTAATATATAAAATGTCGCATTGGTTTGGCAGCACTATACGTCAGTGAATGTCATGAGTAAGAGTACTGCCA